GGGATTTTCTCGATTCTTTAGCAACTTTAGTGCAGGATTTGCTCTTGCCCACAGACCTCCAACCACACTTCTTGAGAAAGTCACCTACGTTCAGAAGGCAGACAAAAGACGTCAGAAACTGAAAAAACTTCGTACCGGTTTCAAGCGCTTCCTTGCTTTTATCTTTTCCCAGATTGGGCTTTCTCTGTTGGTAGTGGGATACACTGTCCTAGGCGGCCTCCTATTTCGAGCCGTCGAACTGGAACACGAGAAAATGGTCAAAATCAAAGGAAAAGAGATGCGAGACGGTTTGGCTGATAAGTTTTCCTCTGAGATTCTTCGTCAACTACGTTATCAGCTCCTATCGTACGATACACAGACCAATCCTTACTACAAATTTCCAAAGCGCAAACCTCAAACGGCAGAGGATGAACAAATCGAGGAGGCGAGTTCAAGATTGCAGGCCACGAAATCTGCTGGTACCATAAGAAATAGACGGATTTCTTCTGACAAGTCGCATCAGCGAGTTCGTCGATCATGCCAGCAAGTACAGTTCGCCCGGACTAGACGTTGGTTATCTCTTATTGATTATACGCTTCGAAGAAAGATGCGCCAAGAACTTCACAGCAGCTTGCGCAAGTTAGTTAAACTTATGGAACAAGAAGGATGGAATGGTGAGGATTCGCCGGATGACCTCAAATGGTCCTGGGAAGGGTCAATTTTATTTGCAGTTACGGTCATAACAACGATTGGTAAATTGAATTTTAGTGATAACTTTTGACGGTAAATTCTAACGTGATGGTTGCCAGTTGCTTATATCATAGCTAACAGGATTCCTCCTTTCTCAGAGACCTGAAAGCGATTTGTTACCAACAAGCGAATTTGCATGGAAACAGATCCCACACGAATCTTGTTGTTCTAGCAAATGGAGTATACAACACAGAAGTTAATTTCATTAAAAACTTTCGTGGCATTAAAATTATCGAATGCACCTGAAGCTTGTTCTATATTTTGAAAGCAAACGATTAGTACTGGTTGAATCAGCTCAAAGAAACCCCATAATATAGGAACAATACATTTAGATAACCCTTACATTATTCGCCATGCGAAGACTGTCCACCCATTAGTTTGCGGTGTAAGCTCGTTCCACAGCTCAACTGCTGAACAAAATTTTAGAAATCTGCACTATTCCCAAACTCACGTGGGAAAGCAGAGAGCTCATGCTTCGATTACAGGAGATCGGGCATAAAAAGTCTTAGTGATCAAAGAGTCCGCTTTCGAATGTCAGATCATTCAAACCTACGGTAGATTGTGACTGACTGACGGTTTCTAATAAGCCACAAATGACTATCCGAGCACTTTATGTTTTTCCGGTATTTAGTCCTGCAAAAAAATCAACGCTTACCATTTTTTATATATATTTCTGCAGGCAAATTGGAAAGCAGGTACTGTTTGGACTAATAGCCTACAATAAATGTCATAATTTGGACAGAAGGTTGTTAATTATTCAATCTTTGTCTCAGATGTTGCTGTAACGTTCTTTATTTTCTCATCCATAGAACGAATAGACAGGGTCTCTGTTTTCCTCGACAATGCGGTAAATAGGCAAATTTCTGATGAGAAATGTCGTAAAATACCATCATCATTTGGGCGTTAACACAACAGTAAAACAGATAAACCTATGAACGTCCACATTTGCGACTAACGAAATCAACTTTGAGACACGGTGCTGTTTCATTCTTAAATACACGATAAGTTTGAGCGCGGTCTTATGTTTTAAAAGGGTCGGTGACTCCAAAATAAGGTCCGCTAGTGGACCGCGTTCAACAGAACACAAGCCACAGGGTCGTATGATGTTATTGGATGAGAGACAAAAGCGTCCTCTGTTATCACTTTTAACCTAATGTAATCGACAAGACGGCTTCTTGCATTTGGGAACTAAAGATTAGCCCATTGACACGTTGGAAAATGCATGCCCATTAGCAATGACCGTTTCTCAAATTAGACCGACTATTATATATCTGGGTCTTGTTTCATGCAAGTCCTAATTCGGACGCCGCGCAGTGCCAATCCGGCCAGTTGCCCTGCATTATAACAATGACTGCACCGATCCTGAAGGCAATTTGTTTTCCATTCCATAATTTCGACATAAACACATAAATTACTGATAAGTCAAGGCTGAAACTGAGTGATTTGAACCTTGTAGAGTTCGTCTTTAGCGTCTGTTTAGACTTCGATGGACAATTCTATATTTGACAGGTTACAAAATGATGTCTTTGGTTGAATATCTCGAAAACCTAAGGGTTTTGGAATTCACTCTGATTTTTTTTTGTATTTACCAATAAACGATTAGCAGAACACATTTAAATGGAAAGGCATGTACCCAAACTACAACACACTTACGTTTATTAATTATGTCGAATTAATGAAGAAACAAAAGAAAATGAGCGTTATAATCTGGGATAATAATTTCGAAAGGAATTAAACAAATCATTACGTGCAATATCGTTGCCCACCTATAGATTCGTAACAGAGGTTTGAGAACAAATTTGATCGTCAGCCTTTTGCGTCTTAAAGACATTTTAAACGGTTGCTTATAAACAGCGATTTAACTGGGATTCGACAGTGGCTCACACAGGGCGGAAACTGAAGTGCCTTAGTAAAATTACAAAACCACATATTAAAGGTGGTAGAATGCGTTTTTGCGCATGACTACATTGGTAGAGTAATGTAACTGTCGTTCAAAAAGTTGTGGTTTTTCCTCATTTATATCTAACTACTGTCTTCATTTCTTAAGGATATGGTCATGCTGTGCCAAAAACCAACCTAGGCAAGCTGTTGACAATCGGCTACGCGTTAATTGGCATACCGCTTGTTTTTCTCTACCTGTCGAACATTGGTGACTACTTGGCGACTCTTTTTCGGACTCTGTATGCAAGGATATGTCGAAAGTGTTGCGAAGGCAACTGTCTGAAAAGCAACCAACTGAAAAATGCAGACACATCGTTAGTTATCTGGAATGCACAATCGGCCGAGATGGAGGACGAAGAACTATGCGACCAGAACAATCCCGGCACTCATTTAAGATCAAACCTAAGGATACTAAAACGCATAGGGACAACGAAAACGAATCCTGACGAGAAAACAAAATCGGCCTCCGAGATGGATAATTGCACTACACTCGTTAGGAATGACAGCATACACGACGAGAGACAGAACGACTGTGTTACCACGGGAGCTGCTGCTTTGGAGCTTACTTTAAGAAAGGAGGTGACTGAAACTTTTTTATTTTAATTTTTTTATATCAAAAGTTCCGTTAGGTTCATAGATAATGTTTTGATATTTTGATTTTTAGTAAAGAGCAATAAAGTTGCATGTAAAATTAGGGGAACAAAAGCCCATTTGCATGCTTGAAGGCGCACGGAACTTTCCAAGTGGTAAAATACAAACCTTGAGGACAACAGAGCAAATTTCATATATAACGTACTTATATCCTATCATTAACCGGGTAGGACGTCCACTCGATTTGTCATTAAAAGCATTGTCAATTCACATGGAGTGAAGTCATTGCTTATAAATACAGAAAATATAAAGGCTTAATTGATTTCTAGACAACATTTTTAATTGCCAAAAATGGTCGTAGAGATCGGCTTGATTTTTTATTAGAGAATAAGGGCTGTGGATTACGTAGGTTGCCTATGTATTTTACTGGAAATTTTAATATTGGAAATATTTGATTATCAAATAATTTATATCATTTTAAAAACTTTGGTGTCTCGAATGATGTGCGTATGCAGGACTGCGTCATACGTTAACTACATTTCATCCATATAAGGTAATATACCACTGATTTATGGGCATAAAAGAAATAAAACATCAAACGTGTTCATGAGCTACTTTCGCTATTTAACTGGGTAAGAAAAATAATCAGCGTCATTTAAGACTGCGGTCGATATTAGGATTTGCTGAGATAGCATATTAGTCTCCAGAACCCTCGCATTCAGATTCATTTTCAATGGTGTGATTGCTCTATTATCGCTTTATCAGTCCACACAAAATCGAAGAATGGCCATACGATATTCAGCGGCTTTCACGCTTTAATAGTGATAAAAAACAAATGTTTCTGTTGCCCATATAGCTATTATTTGCTGTCATTAGTGCAAAGATGTGACATGTGCTGCTTTGTCCATATGGCATATTTAGGAAGATTCGAGGAATTTCTCGGCATCGTTTTTTTGGAAGACAAGTGAGCGGCTGAACTTTTCAGTAAATCATGAAACGTCCATACAGTCTTGTATATGGCTGCGTAAAGAATAACGGCAAATAGGAGCGAATTTGCCGGCAATTCTGATTAGGAGGTTTCATGATGCACCTAAGTTGATTAAAAGTCACCCCTATAAGTATATTTAAGTCTCCCGCGGCAACAGATCGAATGTGATCTTGCAAACCGATAGACAGTGATCTGATTTAACGCTCTCCGCTGAGGTGGATTAAAATCTGATCTTTGATGTGCCCGAGCCCGAAATCCAGGTATTGGCGACCACTAAAGTTCAGTAAATCAGCAACTGTCACTAGCCTCTAGCTCCTTCTTGTGGATAGCCTATCCGCAGCCTATACAGCGCCTTCCAACGGCCTTAAAGCATAATAGATCTAGTATTTGCTTTCTGCAGTCAGAAAGGCGAAATGTTATTCTTATTTGGCAATTTACATATGAACATCTTGTTATCAGCTATGCAAGATGGTATGATAGCAGAAGACTGCGTTTAAAGATGCTTGAAGTAATTAATCTTAACTAGAAAGGGAAAAAGACGCAAACAGAATAGACAGCACAAGATAGATTTAAAAGAATATTGAGTGATTATCGCTTTTTACAAAACTAAACGATCTTTTGACGGGGTTTGATATTCAGTATATGCTGAAGCCCTCTGCGCTTAAGGAAATTTGTTTTCCATTTGCCTGTCCAGTAATTGTGTCCTTACTAGCATATATGGCTGCTTTGACTCTTTCAAACACTCCAGTACTTTACAAGGTACTTAGTGGGCCTTCAGAGTTCCGTTTCGAGCAGACATTTCGGGGGCTGTCAGTAGTAATGATTTTCACGGCGAGGTGGCCTGTCAAAATAAGCAGATCATATGAAATCTGGGCACAGATAAATTGGCTTGGTTTGGCTTTTAAATGTTTCACGCTCTCTTGACTTCTCTGCTTTCAGCACGTGCGTTTAGTTTGCAAAGTGTATGTTCACCGACAGTCGTGCTAACTGTGGAGTTAACACACATTTTTCGGACACGACAGACAAGTTGAGCCAGTCTCAGGAACTAACCTCCCTAAAGTGTGAAGATGCGCAAAATATTCAAGTTTCCGTGATCGTGGGCACTGTCCACTCCACGCATCAAAGGATGCAATGGTGCGTTCGGTGTTTTGGCGGCCTACTGACCCCAAGGTCACCCGTCTAGTCTTACCGTCGGCAAAGGAGAATCTACGCAGCGCAGATGACATTCCAGGTTGTACAGTAGGTGGGCTAACCCACGGAATGCCGGCCGAACTTTCGAAATCGCTCTCGTTTCGAAGAGATTAACTAAGTAGCGTTGTAAATCTAATCACCGTCCAGCATAAATCTGTAGTGATCCAGTTAACACAGGGTGTCTTTTTCGAAAGAAGGTATTTTGGACTTCATGCAAACACTATACTCTGCACAAAATGGCTTCTTTCGTAGAATGCAATTTTCTCATTGATTTTCGATACCTTGAAGAGTGTAATTATATTACATGAAAAAAATGTATAAAAATATCCATACTTTTTTGTACTTAGTATCAAGTTATGTCCTCTTTCAAGATCTTTCTCGAAGAAGGAATATAATTCGGTTTCAAAAAAGTTTTTGATTGTGAGATTTTTTAATACCTTGAAATGGCCCTTCATAAGACCTCATGTATCTGCATTTGCCAATTTAGCTTGTAAAGTTAACAATGTTGCTCAAATCCGCTGCTTAATTTTATGAACCCAATATGGTCTCCTCTTAGTCCCATAGAGAAATGTATGCTTTTCCGTACACGAAAAATATACGGCTTGTAGTTTTGAAACCCTGAATGACAGAAGGTCAGGCTCAAAATTAGGCAGGAATTAAAAACGTTTTAGAACCGAATTATACTGCTTTGTCGAGTATAAAATGGAAGAAGACGTGACTTTTTACAGCATAGGTAAAAAATCAATATTATTAGGCACCTTTTTTTAATGAAATATAATTGAATTTTTAAGGGCATCGAAAATCAATGAGAAAACTGCATGTTATGTAATAAGTCGATTTTTGCGGAGTATAGTTCTTTTATGCATTCGAACATAAACTCCTTCAAATGCCGGCATCCTGAGGTAACTGGATCAATATAAAATTATGCCACAAGACGATTAGTTTTGCAGACCTATTTAATCAATCTTTTCGGAACGAGAACGCATTTCGAAATTTCGGCCGACATTTCTTGAGTTAGCCCACCTACTGTACTTCCAGTGCTACAACCGATGCTGTTATCGAGAAGGCTATGAAAGAGAATGAAGGTGGACTGCATCCTACTGTTACGACTTGCTTTCAAAGTTGAGAATCAAAAGTCGGAGAATGTGTAAATTTTACATGTGCACAAAATAACCACTAGCTGCAGGAGAAATGACACGTACATGCTGGTAAGTAGTAGTGGCGTTTATTTATCATGGAAACCATGATTGCTTTTTTCGCTTTAAGGTTATGAGATTTGCTTTTCATTCAAGTAAGTTTTCCAGGAGTCACAAAACAGAAGTTTGCTTCTCTGTGGAACTCTAGGTAATATTACGATCACTTGTAAACACGATAAAACGCCTGTGATTTGCCCAATGATCAGAATTTACTTAGGTACGGGAAATTGGATTGATTCCAATTTCTGGATTGATTTAATTGTAAGTTTATGAAAGAAGTATTCCCAGATTTTAAAAGTTTTTTTCGGTAGCCGTCAAAGTTGGACTTACTTGCAGTCTCATCAGCTCGAAGATAGCGTACTTACAAAGTGCATGTGCAGCGGCGAAGCGTCGGCCGAATGGTTAGAACATACATTTGGGCAGGAAATAGTTGCAAAATTATTTGTCATAGTCAAAGTTAATCATTGTAAGAGAACTAATTTAATCTACGCGCTTTTCTCATTCATATTTATAGCCGTCTCTCCAAATGAATTTAACGATAAATAATAATTAGAAAGGCAACTTGGCAAACTTGCGATTTCGGTAAATCTTCATCAGGCAAACGAAAAATATGCTAAGTTCACAGGGTTCATAAGTGGCATAGAGGCTGTTATCACTCATCGTTCCGACGCCGCCCACATGACGAGGTTGGTGTGCTATGATCATTGGACATGGGGAGTGTCAGGCTTAGTGATTTTTTAAGTGGGGTATGTAGAGTACATATCCCTGTCATCAGGGAGTAATAACCATCTGTGGCCAGTGTTAGCCACGGAAGGCTGAGTGTCAACGTCTTCTGAAAACATGGCTCTGGATTCCCTAGCCGTATAGGCACGGCCGCGGCTGTAACTAACACCCGTCGACGTAGACCTCTGAAGACGTTTGCTGCTGTGCGGTAGACAACCTGCGATGCTTCTTTAGAATCGACTCGGGAATTTTTATCGACAAGCTATGCGTGAATAGAATTCGAACTCACTTCTTGTCACCTCTGCCTAGCCAGGCCGGTATGTGTTCAAATACTTTCTTTTCCAGGCGCCTCATTGTATGGCCAATATATCCTGCACCAATGGCGCAAGTAAGTGAGTAGATGCACATTGACTTGGCTTGCAACGGCAGCCAGTCTTTACTTTCCAACCGTGGGGGGGGGAAGTTTGTGGAACATACGCATAAATTCGCCGCGGCGGAATGCTCTAGTGCTTGCTGTCTTTGGACGTCATCTTACTAGGTCGTTTTCTGCGTCACTTTGAAATCGCAGTCTTGTAAAGGAATCTTTCTTTGCCGCAGTTGCTGTGGTATGCCTTGCAGTGCGTCTCACAATATTTCGAAGGATAAATCTCTCTGGATATCTGTCTTTGCGGTGTATGCTCAGTAACTCTAGGACTTCTACTTTAACAATCTCAGAAGAACAGATATGCCGCACTCTAGCTGCCAATCCTTGGTCCAACCTGTGTTTAAGAATAAGGGGAACAAAACTGTGAAAACGAATGTATCGTCTCGTGTAGACTTTCTTTCGGAATATCTTACGTTGGATAGATCCATCCTCTTGGTTCCGCCGAAGAACATCAAGAAACGCGATTTCGGCATCTGCCTTAAACCAGCAAAGAAACCTGAGAAAGGTTGTGCACTGCTAAGCTTTTGGATCAGGACGTCAGCCTCGGTGGTATGATCCGTCAGGCAGAAAATTCATTCACGTACCGACCGTAGAAGGCAAAGTTATTGGTTGCATCTTGTGACCTTGTATTTTCGGTTTTATACATAAAAACCTTTGCAAGGAACGGGATAAGCGGTGGGGCCATGGACATGCCGTCCATTTGCCTGTATGATTGGCAATGGCAGAGAACGTGAGCATTTGTCCGCAACATGTCAATACTTTTTCAATGTTTTCACTGGCCTATCTTTCAGCTGCCTCATATCGCGAATAAGATTAAAGGGGTAGTCTGGTGTTCCCCCACGAGTATGTTAGTAATAGTTATGATACTTCTAATGATAGCTTCCTCCGTCCGTCAACGTTAACATTCCTGGCAGTCTTGACGCACGCAAAGAAGTTCTTCAGCAGCGGTTTTGGTTTTTCGACCAGTCATTTTCAAAAGTTTGATAGAGTAAATTCCCTATATTGAAAATTGGACGAATAAGTAGTCCGTGGTTGTAAATTTTTGGGAAGCCCCACATTCTGGGTGTCGTCACGCCCACAGATCTCAATCACGCATACTCTTTATCATACAAATGACCTTCTATGTGGAGAAATTTGAGAACTGTCGTCAACTCAGCTTCCATGACCCCGACGCGGCCAATTTCCATCTCGAATTTTGTGAATTTGGTAAAATCTGACAGGATTTCTTATAGTTTCGGTATATTATCTGCTCTATCCACAACCTTAATTCTCAAAACCTTATCTGGCCTATTTGGCACAATATTTTGTTTTGCGAAGTTCCCCGACGCTTTTGAGATAGACCCTTGTCAAAGTGCCCTTGGTTTTTGGAGCCTCTTTAAATATCGTTGGCCTCAAGTAACCACAGTCGACAGAAGATAATCAATTTGCCTAGGCTAGCTAGTTTTTCCATCGGCAGTTTGACTAAAGAGACACTGGAATTGGATTTGCCAATAACTGCTCGGCATCTACTATGCATTGCAAAGCTTAAATAACTTATTTTCCTTAGGCATATCTTATACTCATATGGCTTAAAAATAAATTGAAAGCATATCGTTTTTGCATTGTGAACAAATGGGTGTCTTTTAGTTTGCAAAGTGCGGTTTTGATCGCAATGCGTGTTTCCGCGCTTCTACTACTGCCACATTACAAAAGATATAGATTGCTCTGTTGTATGAGCATGACAAAAGTCGATCTATCATGGGTGGTATTGAATGCGAGTGCGAGTCAAGAAATGCGACTGTGGACGGTTATCGGTTAGTGCTGTTTTCCATAAACAGGTTCTTGAGTGATTCTAATACCCCCGCCGCACTAGAATCAGCCTTTCTAACAATCTTATTAGAGAATTTCTTCAGACAGTTTATGACTCACAAAGCATTTAAAATTTTATCACATCTATAAATTATATCATAGAAAAGATGCGCTTTCGAAATCATTCAGGTGTGCTCTTAATTACAAACACTGCACTTCGGCTTCTTACACCTCTTAATTCTGGATTTCAAGACAGTCCTGGGTCAATAAACTTTGTTCTTTTTATGTAATCTGCAACAAGAGCACCTTATAAACAAATAATATGAACATTAGGGTGAACTACGGAATAATTGGCATCTACAGTAAAATGACCTTTAGGTTACGTATTTCGGAACTGGGCAGAACACTTTCATAAAGATGACAGTATTTTTAGTACTGGAGTTGCCAAGTAAAATGTCCAAATGTTGATACCTCACCAGCAACCTATCAAGCGAACTTGACAGAGGTTACTGACCTCACGATGTTTACAAACGTTTCAAGTCACTTCTTATTACAAAGTAATGCTAGTGACTACTAACATTTACTCAACAGTTCCGGTCTATTTGAAAGTATTTATGCAAGTCGAAAGATCACAATTAGGAATTTACAGCCCATTTAACGATATG